GTAACCTAAATAATGCTGCACCGCATAAATGACTTCTCGCGTCTGCATGGGGCCGACGAGAGGCGAGGCGGGATCAAAGAGTAGAACCATGGAGCAGTCCCGGCTCCTTCCCAGAGGAGTCATCAGACAACTTGATCCAGACGTCCGCCGTCACCGCCAGAGAGTCCTGCAACTCCTTCCGGCACAAATCCATCGCCACGAGGTCTCGGAATGTAAAGTAAACAGCCACGGCAACGACATTGCCTGCGGCTAAGAGGGGGGGGAGCGGTTTCCAAAGCGTCCTTTCCGACTGCTCAAGGTGAAGTGTCTGGCTCCCCGGCAGCTTGTTAGCAAGCCAGACGAGATGTTCGACCAAACGACCTGCTCCGTGACTCTTGGGCACGAAGCGATTGCCCCAAAGCAAATCGTCCCGCTTCTGTTCCTCAGACTTGATGGCGCTCCTGCTGGTATGTCGCCATGACCAGCGTATATAGTTGTGTCTCTCGACACGGAGGTACTGTCCCTGGTGTAACAGGGGATGGAATCTTACCCACTCCGCAAGTCGTACTCGAGGCGATACTCCCGGAGATCTGAGCGGAACCCGCCGGGTTGTGAGTGAAAGGGCCGCTGTCTAGCTTTTCCAGAATGGCTACTCCTTGCTGCGTAGGACAGGCAGACTAGGGCTGCCCGCTTGCATCCAAGCAGATTCAAATGAAGAGAAGCGCTGCTGGTGTCTCCTCCAGAAGAAGTAGAAAGAAGAGAGAGACGATCTCTGAGATCTGTTTCGAGGGGGACGGGACAGCCTCCTCTATATACTCCGTCTGCCGTCTTCCCGACCGGTGCTCTCCACCTCTGTCCGGGGACCCTCCCACTTTTCCCCACCAGCCAAGGCAGTTGGGTGGGTGTGTGAAGCGATGCAACCCACACTCTGTGGCCGACCTCCTCCCGCCGGTCTGATTGGTCGTTAGGACTAGGTCACTTTCCCGCCTGTCAAGGACCTCTAGTACTTCATTCCTGCCCGTGCGGTCATCCATTCTCTAGTGACTGGGCCATGGAGCAGAGGCCCCCTATAAACCAAACTTAAGTAATAGGGGGCCTGGCAGTCAAAGCGACCTCCCGTCTCTTTGTGTCCACTCCTTCCTGTCGTGTACTGGTGACTTCCCTCCGGTCGTCAACTCGCCTCCGGCTCAGACAGGTACTCGCTCCGCTCGTGGCCCAACGGGTAGTTTATGGGCGTGGGTTGTATGACTGAGTGACTGGGTGAAGTGGTTTGCGTGGAGTGGTGTGTTTGTCACTCAGTCTCTAGTAAGTGACTGTTCAGCGGGTAAGTGGTGTTGTGAGTCCGTCGCGTGCCTTTCAGACACTTGCTCCTCTCTGGAGTCGACTCTCTGTGAACGCATTCACTCGGTTGAAGATGTTCAATGTGGCTTCACGTCCACACCTTCGGCGTGTCCGCACTCCTTCGGAGTAAATTCCATAGTGATGGAATGGCTCCGGGGTGATCACCCAGAGTAGTTTACTTGGAGTGTCATATTTACTATCTTGGGTGGCTCTCTTGTAAACGCACTGGGGAAGCAAGGCATGGATGATTACAGTCACTATCACGGATCAGTACAAGCACTTCCCTGTGCATGTCGTCACCATAAGGCGTACCTCTATGGTCTCACGTTCATCTTCAGTGTGCTATAGTGTCTACACAAGTCAACTCTGTCTCTCAGTGAATGCTCCCGACTACTATTCATCCCGGCTTCGCGTAGAAAATTACCGGAACTGTCCTCGAAGTTCCTTCCCTCGCATAACCCGCATTCGTTTCTCCATGCAAGCGGCACTATCAATAGCGGAGCTCGATACAATGACCGGCTTTAGATCCTCGCAAAGATTTTTGTGATGGGGTGGGCCTCACCTTCGTTGTAGGGGCGCCTCCATCTGATTCCGCACCACTTCTTGAGGCGGTACGCCGTCCTCTCGGCATATGATGAACTGTCCAGGACGGGCCTGCTGAGGCGGTTGCACTGCAAGCAGCATTGGTGGTACACGCGGACGTTGTACTGAGCCCCGGCATACATCCGTATCGTAACGGCAATCCTCTTACTTGACCAGCCGTCCGAAGAGCACTTTGGGTTGCGGCAGGGGAACCTGCCCATCACGTTGGTGTCGTAGTCCTTGACGCAGTTCTTGGCGTCATCCGCCGTGTGAAAATCGAAGAAAAGATCCTCCTCTTCCAGCAGTCGCGACACACCGTCGTGTAGCTTCGGGCACATGGACCACCTCGGGGGTGCCTTCTTCTTTGCTTTCCCCTTCCCCTTGTCGGGCATCTTGGGTGACAGTGTCGCTGAAACTGATCGATACTGGATCTCCGTGTGCGTGGGATGTGCGTGGACCTGTGCCGAAGGTGCGGCCTCGTGACCGAGCGTGTCGATCGACTGCCCGTTCGTTGACTGTGGTGCTCCCTCGCGTGAGCAAGTCATGTATGTGAAAGTCCCTCCTTTCAACTTTCGTCGAGGACCGGCGTCTCCTTACCTGGTAGGGTTTCGTGCATCCGAAGAGTGCCCGCCGGCGTGAGTCGATCATTACTCACGATCCTTCATTGCAAAGGAATGAAAAAGAGAAAGTCTGCCCGACAGTCGCTCAGCTCGGGGAAGCCCCTTCCTTTATGTCCCTCGCGTACTCATATTCAACCTGAACCGGTTAAAGGGGAATGTGGGACCACACCCACTTGGAATCCTTGCATGATTCTCGGCAGTCACGAGCATTGTCCTTCCCGTCCAATAGGCTGTTACGACCACCCAGGTCTTTATAACTCGTATGACGAGTGAATGTCCGGGTCCTCAACCCGGTCAGTGGTGGGGTCAGTGAAACTGTACGTAACCTGACCAATGGACGTAGCCACCTCCCTCCGTCGGTACCTTCTTATGACGCAGTCTCTTCCGTCCCGTGTGAAACTGTTATGAACTACATCCAAGCTAAAGCAAGGTGTCTAGTGACTGGGCCATGGAGCAGAGGCCCCCTATAAACCAAACTTAAGTAATAGGGGGCCCAAGAGTATGAGTGACTCCGTCCCTCTCACAATCCTCGCCTCCAGCTGCGGTACCTTTGACTCCCTCCAGTCGTGCAAAGACTCGCTCCGCTCAGACATGCTCCTTCCAGTCGCGGGCCCAACGGTGAGTGCGTGGGGTGTAGCTGTGTGGGTCCGGTGGGTGAGTGACCTTGTTGGAGGTCAGTGTGTGTGTATGTTTGTGTCCGTCGCGCGCCTTTCAGACGCGTGCTCCTCCTGTGGTGTTGAACCGTCTTGTGAACGCAGTGCTCAGTTGAAGTCTCTGAGCGTGGCTTCACACGTCGACCTTCGGCCTTCCGTGCACACCCTTCGTGTAATTTCCATAGCTCTCAAAGATTCCGGGGTGATGCTCAGGGTTGTAGTGTTTGGAGTCGAGTGTCCTTGTAAACGAGAGTTGGCATACTATCTTGGTGGATCACCTTGTAAACGCTTTATGAAGGAGCAGTCTACGTGGAAGGGTAACGTGAGGAGTCAAGGGCACATTCATTGGGACAGAGCGTGACTATTCCATTTTATTGTCCTACAGTCAAGTGTGGGTGATACCCCTTGGATCAAGGTGAAGCTGCCATCCAGCCCCCCGGCGTGAGGCTGTCGTGAAGTCCTCCTTCAACGAGTCATCGACAGCACCCGCGCAAATCCAGTCACAATTGCTAACGCAGCACCACTGGACTACGGTTCAAAGCCAACATCCTCAAACAGCTCTTCATCGTCGTAGTAATCATTCGTGGGCAATGCACGCACTGATTGTCTGCCCGGACGGGGAGACTGCCCTGCCGTGGAAAGGAAAGAGTGGATTGACTGCTCGGGAGACCACCACCTGAGGCTTCCGGACCAATATATCCGCGGTGTAGTGCTTCGTCTCATCCTGCTTGCCCTCTCGGCCCGGACCTTCTCGATCCAGGAGAGATACGGCTTGCTGTAGAGACAGTTTCCCAATGCCTCGCCAAAGATGCGGAGGGCCCTTTGAGAGCATCCGTCTCGGCCTCCTTGACGGCCTTTTCCATGGCTTCCGCCCTCGTGTTGCGCTTGTCGCCCCGCCAAAGCCGGTTCCATCGTGGGAAGTTGGGGCCCGCTGGTCACCCAAAAGACGGTGACACGCACCCTGCACACGGCTTCCGTCATCCACTTCGCGGGGTTGCCTTCTGTGCGGGATTCGCAAGACTGCTCGATGACCTCCGAACTCCATCCGTCATGGCCAAACATGTCATTCGCCAACGAGATTGCATCCGCGCTGCTGAGATAGGAAAGCTTCGACCCTCCGGGCCCCGGTCTCCGCTGCACATACTCTGGACCAAGCGGCCTCCGAGGACAGCCAAGGAGCTGCTGCTCCCGACGCCACGTCTGCGTCTGTCAAAGACATCACTCGAGTCTTGCCCTGGGCTGCGTCGTTCCTTCCGACGGGTCATTTACCTCATCAGCCTTGCGGCCGCGCTTCACCACGGGCGACATCCTGGCAGTACAAGACTCCGTCACTGGAAAGTGGAAGTGGCACAAGTAGGACTTGCTTCAAGAAAGCAAGATGGTAAGGTGCAACGTGTACAGCAACTTGGCTTCTGGCAGTGTCGTCCCGACAGTACGAAGAAGAGAAAGAAAAGAGGATGCCTGGATCCAAAGAGACGGGGCTGCCCCTAAATACTCCGTAGCGGCGAAAGTGTCCGGCTCTGCGCCCGGCCAGTAGTGGATGCAGTCAAGGAAGCGTTGCAACCTGTCTGATTGACCAGGGTGATCCATCCCGTCTCACTCCCTGTTATGACCGGCTCCGTTCTCTCCAATCACATCCGCGCTATGGACTGTCTGCAAACTACGTAAGCGACCTAGTACGTTGGGCCGTGGAGCAGAGGCCCCCTATAAACCAAACTTAAGTAATAGGGGGCCCAAGAGTATGAGTGACTCCGTCCCTCTCACAATCCTCGCCTCCAGCTGCGGTACCTTTGACTCCCTCCAGTCGTGCAAAGACTCGCTCCGCTCAGACATGCTCCTTCCAGTCGCGGGCCCAACGGTGAGTGCGGGGTGTAGCTGTTGCGTGTGGGTCCGGTGGGTGAGTGACCTTGTTGGAGGTCAGTGTGTGTGTATGTTTGTGTCCGTCGCGCGCCTTTCAGACGCGTGCTCCTCCTGTGGTGTTGAACCGTCTTGTGAACGCAGTGCTCAGTTGAAGTCTCTTGAGCGTGGCTTCACACGTCGACCTTCGGCCTCCGTGCACACCCTTCGGTGTAATTTCCATAGCTCTGAATTCCGGGTGATGCTCAGGGTTGTAGTGTTTGGAGTCGAGTGTCCTTGTAAACGAGAGTTGGCATACTATCTTGGTGGATCACCTTGTAAACGCTTTATGAAGGAGCAGTCTACGTGGAAGGGTAACGTGAGGAGTCAAGGGCACATTCATTGGGACAGAGCGTGACTATTCCATTTTATTGTCCTACAGTCAAGTGTGGGTGATACCCTTGATCAAGGTGAAGCTGCCATCCAGCCCCCCGGCGTGAGGCTGTCGTGAAGTCCTCCTTCAACGAGTCATCGACAGCACCCGCGCAAATCCAGTCACAATTGCTAACGCAGCACCACTGGACTACGGTTCAAAGCCAACATCCTCAAACAGCTCTTCATCGTCGTAGTAATCATTCGTGGGCAATGCACGCACTGATTGTCTGCCCGGACGGGGGAGACTGCCCTGCCGTGGAAAGGAAAGAGTGGATTGACTGCTCGGGAGACCACCACCCGAGGCTTCCGGACCAATATATCCGCGGTGTAGTGCTTCGTCTCATCCTGCTTGCCCTCTCGGGCCCGGACCTTCTCGATCCAGGAGAGATACGGCTTGCTGTAGAGACAGTTTCCCAATGCCTCGCCAAAGATGCGGAGGGCCCTTTTGAGAGCATCCGTCTCGGCCTCCTTGACGGCCTTTTCCATGGCTTCCGCCCTCGTGTTGCGCTTGTCGCCCCGCCAAAGCCGGTTCCATCGTGGGAAGTTGGGGCCCGCTGGTCACCCAAAAGACGGTGACACGCACCCTGCACACGGCTTCCGTCATCCACTTCGCGGGTTGCCTTCTGTGCGGGATTCGCAAGACTGCTCGATGACCTCCGAACTCCATCCGTCATGGCCAAACATGTCATTCGCCAACGAGATTGCATCCGCGCTGCTGAGATAGGAAAGCTTCGACCCTCCGGGCCCCGGTCTCCGCTGCACATACTCTGGACCAAGCGGCCTCCCGAGGACAGCCAAGGAGCTGCTGCTCCCCGACGCCACGTCTGCGTCTGTCAAAGACATCACTCGAGTCTTGCCCCTGGGCTGCGTCGTTCCTTCCGACGGGTCATTTACCTCATCAGCCTTGCGGCCGCGCTTCACCACGGGCGACATCCTGGCAGTACAAGACTCCGTCACTGGAAAGTGGAAGTGGCACAAGTAGGACTTGCTTCAAGAAAGCAAGATGGTAAGGTGCAACGTGTACAGCAACTTGGCTTCTGGCAGTGTCGTCCCGACAGTACGAAGAAGAGAAAGAAAAGAGGATGCCTGGATCCAAAAGAGACGGGGGGCTGCCCCCCTCTAAATACTCCGTAGCGGCGAAAGTGTCCGGGCTCTGCGCCCGGCCAGTAGTGGATGCAGTCAAGGAAGCGTTGCAACCTGTCTGATTGACCAGGGTGATCCATCCCGTCTCACTCCCTGTTATGACCGGCTCCGTTCTCTCCAATCACATCCGCGCTATGGACTGTCTGCAAACTACGTAAGCGACCTAGTACGTTGGGCCATGGAGCAGAGGCCCCCTATAAACCAAACTTAAGTAATAGGGGGCCTATGGGTATGAGTGACTCCGTCCCCCATACAGTCCACTCCCGCCTGTCGCGTACTGGTGACTTCCCTCCGGTCGTCAACTCGCCTCCGGCTCAGACAATGCTCCTTCCAGTCGCGGCCCAACGGTGTAGCTTTTAGGTGTAGGTTGTGTGGCGGAGTGACTTCCGTTTCTGTTTGGTGTATTGATTACGGTCCGTCGTGTGCCCCTTGCGGGACACCTACTCCTCTTCACTTTGTCGAGTGCTCTTGTAAACGTAGTCGCTCAGTTGAAGATTGTTGATGTGACGCTCACTCTGTTCGCTGCTCTCACATCCGCACCTTCGGCGCTCCTGCACCTCCTTCGGAGGTAATGTCCATAGTCGTGAAATGCCCTGCGGGGCTTAAGCTCAGGGTAGAGTGAATGAAGCTACTCCCTTGTAAACGGGTTGGGACTACTTGTAAACGCGTGAAGGAAGGTAGGTCTACGATGTTATTCATTGGTAGCCGGAGGAGACCCCTTCACAGGCTTAGCCCTGAGATCTGGAAAATGTTGTGTTTATACCTTGGAGGAATGCACCTCGTGGAGGACTGGACACGGAATTGAAGCCATCACGAAGTCCCAAAAGGGCATGGTGGGATACATTATGCAGGAAAAGCTATACGTCACACACCCATGTACCGTATCTCATCCAGGATATGCCTGACAAGCTGGCCGTTGCCTGAGTAGAGGTTACCATCTCTCAGCATGTCAGTAAGCCAATATTCAATGTTCTCCATCAGACGGTGTGCACAGCAAGACAAAGACAAGACAAGGGGTCCCGCAAAAAAAGTGCCGGGAACCGATCCAAGTAAAGACTTCAATCTCGAGCACTCTTCGTCGGTCAAGCCCCTAACGTGGGGACCAAACCACAAGACCAGTGTGTGAGAAAACACATTGCCCTCTACACGCTGCACGGCGTAGTACTCAAACGAACTCGAACGCAGACAATCCTGCAGTCTCCCGACAATAAAAGAATTTGACATGCAGCAAGCGGTCACCAAACGAACCGCATAGAGTCGCCGACACCACTGGTCCGCCCGAAGAGGAGCGCAGCTCACGTGGCTGCAACAACAAGTATCGTGCCCGGCACTGGCCGTAGAGAGAGGAAGACACTCGGCATCTCCGTCGACCGTTCCAAACGATGAAAGTGGCAAGCCCATCCCGCGCATCATGCGAAAGAAATAGAAGGAGAAGCTTCTGTCGAGGCTCCGCCAATGAACGAGGTGCGAAGAAGCTTTGTTGATCCCAGCAACGCCGAAGAGAGGGTTGTGTGTCCCACTGTGCTGATTGCTCGTGAAGAACCCACCAAGGGGATATGGCGGTCAGCTTCGCAGACTGTAGTCGACTCAGGTCGCTTGCCGGTGGGATTTCTCTCGAAATACAAATCCTCCACGATGAGAAAATTGAATCACTTCTCCGTGACGACAACGGCAGGAGACAATTCACCAAGAATTGTGTGGGCAGGAGCCTGCTGAGAAAGTCGACTTCGTTTGCTGAGCGACGATGCGCTCCGTCATTTTCCCCAGAAAAGAGTGCTTGAAAGAGTCCGAAGTTGTCTGCAACGATCGCTCCGCTAGTATGAATCCTCCAATATTGCCTGCCCGGCGTTTTCAGCCCTCTCCGCCCCTGTCGATGAACGAACCCGCAAACGGGTGCATAAGTGTCCGGGTACCGCACCCAGACGGTGTGGATCCATCCATGTAAGCTGTGCCAGCAAACTGTCTGTGATTGGACGCGGCGTGTTCGGTCCCCTCCACTGCCTCTTAGTACTAGCTTCGTTCCCGCCTGTCTCTGTCGCTCTATGACTGCATGCAATCACGTGCGTTCAAGCTGCTCTATGGGCTGGGCCGTTGTGCCATGGCCCCCTATAAACCAAACTTAAGTAATAGGGGGCACATGGGTCAAAGTGACTTCCCGTCCCTTTGTGTCCCTCACCTCCGGCTCGGTACTGTTGACTCCCTCCAGTCGTCATTCTCGCCTCCGGCTCAGACAGAACTCGCTCCGCTCGTGGCCCAACGGGTAGTGTTTGTATGTGGGTTGTGTGGTGGAGTGACCTGGGTGTGTGAGCAGGTGTAGATGTGTGGTGTGTATTGTTCCATCGCGCGCCCGGTGGACGCTTGCTCCGTCAAGAGTGCTCGTCTTGTGTCGATGTTCTTGTAAACGTCTCACTCAAGTGAAGATTCGTGAGTAACTCATCCACACCCGCCCCTACGGCGCGTGCGCACTTCTTCGGGGGTTGTGTTCGTATCTCGGAAGGGATTGGAGATATCAGTCTGTTCCTTGTAAACGCGGAGGAGAACTTGTGAACGGGGCTTGGGTCTACGATGTTTGGGCGACTCCCTTGTAAACGGTGTCGAAAGGGCACTACGTCGGGTCTACAGGTACGGTCACGGTGATGTCTGCAGGTGCTGCGTGAGCCCAATGAGGGCTTCGTCAAAGCCTGAGAAGAAAGCCTTCCACCCGAACCATTCATCACCTGAACGGCTTTTCCCACGACGTTGAAATGTGGAACAGAACTCTGCACACAAATAGAATATATCAAGAACCTGCCAGCACATGCCCTGTCCACTCCTGCCAGGTCGACCTTATACCCCGTCTCCTGTACTTACGACGGCGGGTTCGGCTCGTAGTGTGCACCAGCCGGTGTTTGGGACTTGGAATATCCTTTCCAGACAAGGTAATCACTCATGTCCATATAGGCCTGAGGGAACACCTCGTCTTCCTCTGACTGCCGACGAAGTTGAGTCTCACCCAATCTCTTCCGCGGTTTCCCACCTCGTACTGGTTCAGCACACGCAAGAGGCCTAGCCAGTCTCGCAACTGCGTAGTGAGATCGTCGACGTCCTGCCCCGGCCGGCAGACGACCATCATGCCACACTCGTGCATGATCACCCGGCTCGTACGAGAGCCAGAAGACGTTGGCTTTTCACAAGAGGACTGCGGGTGTTTCACCGACAGCCACGGGTCAGCAAGAAGATTGGATGTGCTTCATCCAGAAGACGTAACGCCTAAAAGTCGCCTAGACGTACAAACCTCGCTCATATTCATTCGCTTGTTGATGGTGAAAGCGAGAGAGCAAAGGCTGCTACTCTGAGCCAACTGTCACCAGTGAAGTGAAAACGATACACACCTCTACACCTCGCCTCCTCTGTTGCTGCCTGCATACTCTGTCGAGGGTTGAATGCGGACCCCGGTCCACTCTTTTGCGCTCGGGTGCGAGTTACAGTTCCCAGTCCAACACTTGTCGTGTATTATTGTGTCCCAACAAAACCAACCGTCTTCCACAAAGGCCGCTTCCGAGCGAGGCGCAGCCGAGGATCCAAAGAAGTGAACGCAGTTCATAAGAGAAAGTAAGAGGACAAAACCCGAGTCTGTCCGTGTGTCTCTCGACCGTCACTGCCTGTGAGATGGACGTCGGGATCGTCAAGCCTGTGCCGGGGGAATAGGAGAAAGACCTACCGTATGCTTTCAGCAGCGAACCCGCTTGGTTGTGCAACAGAATGAGAGAACGGTCCCTGTTCTATCCAAGTGGGCGGCACGCCCTTTAAATGCTCTCTCCGTTGTGTGGGTGTCCCATTTGTGTCCGGGACTCTTGCCCGGTCAATTACGGATATGTATGCAACCACTTCGTTGGAAGCTATCCAATCACGACCAGCGTCCTCCCTCCCGTCGTCTTCGCTGCTATGACTCACTACTTGTCTGCCGGTCAATCCGTGCTATGTACTGCAGTGAATCACGTGCGTTCATCCTGCTCTATGGGCTGGGCCGTTGTGCCATGGCCCCCTATAAACCAAACTTAAGGAATAGGGGGCCCAAGAGTAGAAGTGACTCCCTCACTCTACTGTCTTCTCCCGCCAGTCGAAGTCCCTTTGACTCCCTCCAGTCGTGCAAAGACTCGCTCCGCTCAGACATGCTCCGTCCCGTCGCGGGCCCAACGGGTTGTGTTTGGATGTAGCTGCTCGGTCTGTTTGTGTGGTGGAGTGTACCTTCCGTCTGTGTGCGAGTGACTGGTGTCTGTTGCTGTGTGCGTGTATCGTGTGTCCGTCGCTTGCCCCCAAGGGGACAATTGCTCCTCTTCACTTGGTACTACTCCCTTGTGAACGTCGCGACTCGATTGAGGATCCGTCAGTGCGGCTCTCACGTCCACACCTTCGGCGTGTCCGCACCCCCTTCGGGTGTAATGACCATAACGATGAAGGGCTACGGGGTTTATGCTCAGAGTGGAGTACTTGCAATGGATTATCTTGTAAACGAGGATTGAGTCTACGATGCTGGGTGGTATCTATCGGTAGCCGGGTGGTTCCAGGTGCGGTCATGGTCATGAGATTAGGTATTGATGTTCCGAAGTGGCAGAGTCAATCCACACGGTGACTCAAAACACGACTTGCGGGCGTATCGATGGAGTGCAAGAAACGAGGTCATCGCGACTACTGGACCAGAATGGCGGGGATGACCACTCAAGACCTTCACATCATCCGCCCGAGTCTACACACTGGGAAGTTCGTGCTGTCTGCATCTATGCTATCCCAGGACATAGTCTACTCCCCTA